AGGGCAGCCTTCACGAGCAGGTCTACCTGCGTCGTCCTCAGGGCTTTACTGGCACCTTCCCCCCTGGGACCTAGTGGCTTCTGCGGCGCCCTGTCTACGGCCTGCGCCAGGCGCCTCGTGAGTGGCACGACACGCTGCGTGCTACTCTTGCTGACCTGCAGTTCTTTCCGTCCTCTGCAGACCCCTCGCTCTTCGTTCGTGCTGGCTCGACTCCGTTCTACATCCTCGTCTACGTAGACGACCTGGTCTTTGCCACAGCTGACAGGGACGCACTGGCCTCCGTGAAGGCAGAGCTGCTGAAGAGACACACCTGCACTGACCTTGGAGAGCTGCGCCGTTACCTTGGCTTGCAGATCTCCAGGGACAGAGCTGCGCGCACCATCACCCTGACTCAGTCACACTTGGTGCGCCAGGTCCTTCAGAGGTTCGGCCTTCAGTTCTCCTCCGCACAGCCCACCCCTCTTCCTCTGGACCACAGACTCTCCGCTCCAGTTCCTGAGGAGTCGGTAGATCCCAGTGGTCCTTACGCTGAGCTAGTGGGTTGCCTCATGTACCTGATGACTTGCACTCGCCCAGATCTCGCATACCCTCTCAGCATCCTGGCTCGTTTTGTGGCCACAGGCAGACACCGACCTCAGCACTGGTCTGCCGCTAAGAGGGTTTTGCGTTATCTTGCAAGTACATCGGGCATGGGGTTAGTGCTAGGCGGACGCAGGCCAGTGGTCCTTACTGGACACACAGACGCTTCTTGGGCAGACGACGCCGAGACGCTCAGGTCTTCCCAGGGCTACTGCTTTAGCCTTGGCTCAGGTGCTGTCTCGTGGAGAGCTACCCGCTCCTCGTCTGTTGCCCAGTCCAGCTGTGAGGCTGAGATCTACGCCGGTGCCATGGCGGCACAGGAGCTCCGCTGGCTGACCTTCTTGCTCACTGACTTAGGTGAGCGGCCTAGCTCTGCCCCGGTCCTGTACGCTGACAACAGGGCCATGATTCTCCTGTGTCAGGAGCCTCGACTCGAGGGCAGAGCGAAGCACATCCAGCTGCGGTACTTCCTCCTGCGCGAGCTACAGCAGCGTCGCCAGGCTCGCGTAGTACACTTGGCCTCCGGTGCCAACACAGCTGATATCTTTACGAAGGCGCTTGCGCCTAAAGATCATCAGCGGCACTGTTTACAGCTTGGTCTGGTTCCTGTAGTCTCTCACTTACTCGGGCCTTGACTTTGTACTGTCGTATATATATATATGTATACACTCAGACTGGACTTGTGTCCTCTCACAGTGGTTGGACTAGTAGTGCCGCCCTGTACTCGTTCTTGCCTTGTCTGTACTCCTTCTGACTGGTCTTTTAGACCCTTGTCTCAGAGGCTGGACTAGTAGTGCCACCCTGAGCTGCTTGTCTAGAACATTCCCCTATGCAGTCCAGGGGGTGTGTCAAACATGTGTAGTTATCACCTTTGTATAGACTATATAGGGTCACCTTCTAGAGAGTACAACATTTAGGTATATGTTTGTGTACTCTCTCTCTCACATTATTCAATTCTAGGTTTGATAGGATTTGCCTTCATAAGGGCGTGTCCAGCGCGTTCATTTTGCCCCAAGACGAATTTTTGTCGCTTTTTTTCACACGCAAAAATATTGATTCGCCAAGTGTGAATCTGTTGTTGTACACCCACTTTATCAACAGCAAAACGCTGGGACACGACACGAGTGGACACGAGTCTCGCCCGTGGCTCGACAGATGAGCGGGTGCGCAGCGCACACATAACAGACTTACACGCGAAAACATCAGGGTATCCAAATTTCGCCCTGGGAATTTCGCCACGCGAAAACATCAGTCGAGTCGCGCATGCAACTCCTATTCTTCTTCCGCTTTTTCCGCCGTGCTTCGCAAGCGTCACGAAATCCTGACGAATGTAAGCGTTCTATTTTTCGCCAGCTTGGATTTGGACGTTTCTGCCATGTACATAATTTGCGCACGATTTTCATTCGGTTCGGAAACGTGTGGCCCACGTCTGTAGGCACGTCTGGAAGGTGTCCGCCGAAACCGTCAATTTATCGTGCGTGTCCGAATGGACACGAAATTTCGGGTTACCAGGACAAAATCCTGTACCTGATCCGCAAAGTAAATAGTAAACGAACGCGCTGGAAACGCCCTAACATGTGATACCCTTGTTGCCCGAGTCAGTCACGTCTCGGTTCACTCACAGAAGCTTCCCGCATCGCTCCTGTTTCTAGCAATCCCGTTCAAGAACACGGCCCGCACTGTTCCCAGAGAAGACAATGGCAACCGAGGAACTTGCCAGCCATGACAGCATGTCATATTTCGTCCGCCGGGTATTTCAGAAACTACGCATTCAGAAAATACAAATTCAGCCCCCTGGTATTTTCAAAAGTACAAATTCAGCCCCCCTCGCAATTCGCGTATGCCAGCGCGGTAACATTCCAACACACTTACAATCCCTTTCTTCCCGTGGCGAGGTGCGCGAAGTGTCGGGGACGCTTTCAGTCCCAGCCGCGCTAAAACATGAGGTGAATGGCTCGGGCAATATGGGTACAAAAGATTTGATTCAGCCACTCCCACTTTCGCCAGCCAGGACGGTTTCTAGGCGCACGGGTTTGCAGTGGTTGGTTGGCACCAATTCACATGGCACAGCCCACGTTTAACGGTGTCACGGCCAGGGCTGTGGATTGGTTTAGGGCCGATACGTGGGTGGCTGAGGTCTCCGAAAACAGTCCTGAAATTTCCGGAAAGCGACCAAACTGAGTCCTGAAGCGTACGGGCTGGGATCCAAACCAGAACTTCAAATCAGGGCTCCACCAGAGACTGTACTCTGCCTGAGAAAAACTTCGTAATCGTACATCAGGGTAGGCAAGGTGTCGAGTGGGGAGGCCAGCCTATTTTCGTAGGAGAATTTGTGTGCCAAATCTCATAGTAAGGGGACATTTCTCAGTTATTTATAGGTGTCACAGACTTGGCCAATTTCTGGGATGCGAAGTTGTGTGGGAGGGGATGGGGGAGGGGGAAGTGGAGGTGTGGGAGGAGGGGATGTTGGAGTATTGTCTCGGGCTGTGGAGGCTTGCCGAATTCTCTGGGTGTGCGAGGGGAGGAGGGGGGAGGGGAGGGAGGAGTGTGTGCGGGTGTGGGGGACTTCATTGATTTTCCTATGTTCGGTTAGGGTGTGGGAAGAATGTCTCTGGTTTGGAGGACTAAGAGGAATTTTCTGGCTGGGGGGAATCTCTGGGGGTGCGAGGGGTGTGGGAGGAATATCTCTCGGTGTGACGGACTTAAAGGATCTTTCTGAGATCGGGTGGGATGTGGGAGGGATGTATCTGGTTTGGAGGACTTAGCCAAAATATCATAGCCGAAGGGGAAGGTGGGGTAGTGTGGGTGGGAGAGGAAGGTATGCCTATGTCAGTGTATGTCTAGACCCTTTTACGGAAAATCAGGGAAAGGCCTCAACTCCGCCTGAAACGAATCCGGGAAAGGGCCGAACGAAATTCTTAACCATCACGGGCTAGTCCCCTGAACAACCTGAAAAGTCAGACCCTGACGGACGGCTTACCCGGAATGTTTCGGGCATTAAGGGCATTTGCCTTTGAATTGACTTGCCTGGTCAGGGCACCGGGGTTCGGATTCAAGGGCTTGATTTCGTTGCGTGGGGCAACCTCGAAAAGGGCCAACCAACCGAGACTCTTCTCGTCCCGTGGGACAACCAAGCCAAAAAGACTCATGCCAGACAAGCAAACCAACCAGCCCACAAGCTGTACGATGTGTATAGTGTATCTGGTGCGGAGGGCAGGTAAGTGCCAAGAACCGAGGGTGCGTGTGTGGCAAGCTGGCCATATTTCCACGCTGGCTGGTATTTTCTGTGCGGGCAGTAAGAAGTCTTGTAACATTTCAGAAATGGTTCCCGCTCGTTCCTGCCTATGTGCTGTATAATCAAATTTGGTTATTGAATTCCCCTGCCTCTATATAAACATATGATGTGTAGAGCTTGAACCGCATTTTCTTCGGCAAGCTCCAACTGTTCAGACCCCATTCAATTGGTCAATCGGCACCCTAAGCACACCCAGATTGATAGGACATGAAAGAAGGACCCCAGCTGTGTCAAACCCAACTATCTGTCAGCCCGCCTGAATCGAAACCTGGCGCGCGCAGCTCGCGAAAAGCATGGTCGGACGACTACCGCCGCTGCCGGGGATTGTCCACATTGCGCTGTCCCTCCCCCGATGCTCCTGGACTGGACACCGGGCGCCCAACCTGCTGGCGATGCATCTGCCACGTCATGTCTCGGGCTACCCCTCTCCACGGGGTTGTGCAGGCGGGATTGTTTTACTGTACTCTTGCTTCCTATCGATGAGCTGGCATCGCTTGTTGGTTACGTTTGAGGGTAGTTCTCCGAAATTTGTACGACACAAAGGGTCTGTGTAGGGAAAATTTAGAGAGCAGCGTGGAGACTTAGACACCAGAAGCCCTGGAGGAGAGTCTGTGAAAGCTTGCTGGGCAGCAAATCCTCTAACTGCTGGGTTCCCAAACACCAACAATTCTGGATTTTGGATTAGAATTTCGAAAGTTGCAGAGTGGCAGAAAACGAAAAATCAGCTCTTAAAACGAACACCGAAACCGCGACCTTCCCTTTGATTTTGTTCTCAAGATCTTGGCCGTCCCCCCACCCAGCCCAGTTTCCAAATCTGGACATTTACAGACCATCCTACATGGGCTTTACAATAAAAGGTGATGGTAACCTAGACGCAGTAAATACCAGAGAACCCGGAATATTTTCTGGTCCATTTTTTTTTTCAGCCTTCAGCCAGTTCATCCTCTCGCTTCTTCTGCCAGCTAGTCCGTCCATTTCCCCTTCTTGAGCAAGGGTTTGTTCCCTGCAGTGGCATGCTGCCATCCAGCCAGCCACTCGCACACTGTTTGCTGCCAGCTGCACTCCCCTGAACGCCTTTATTCCGTGGAATCGTCCTCATGGTCTGTTTGTGGTCCTTTCAACCATCAGATGGCCTAAAATGCCACAATTGTTTTCACGAGTTCTGTTTTGAGAGCCTTCGTGATTGGGACCGGCAAATGCGAACGTTTCAAATTGTGCACATCCGCAGATCCCGCATTTTCACAGCCTGAATTGTCAGCGTAAAGATCATGTTAGAATTTCAAATTCAAGCTGATTTCAAGCTCTCGTGAACAAATTCAGGCTTCTGAGAGGAGATGTCGACTGGTGACGTGCCTATTACAGCTTACAAGTGGAAGAAATACGGACACAAGGTGCTCTCGTCTCATCAGGAAGGCAAAAGGTTAGTTGAGTTCAGGATCATTCTTGCTAGAAGTAGTACTGGAGATTTTAGTGGCGAATTCCGCCTTATTTTGGCTACAGATCTGGCTTCTAGTCCGTACGTCCCAAAATACCAGGATCAGAAATACGGACTAGGTACACAGTAGGTACGGCATAGGTACGTCTGCTACGGAGTAGCCTTGCTATACGAACAACTATTCCTACAATATAGGAGAGATCCACATTTTTGTGACGTACTTAGGTTTGGAAAGGTATTGTGACGTAGTTTCAGCTGTATCACAAACGACTAGTATAATCCCCCACAAGCATTACGTTAGTAGCATTTTGAAACGTCAATACGTCGTTTTCTTATATCTGATGTTCCCCGTGCTGATTCCGTATGATGTGCAGATTTTACTACGCCTGCGCGGAAAAAGACTCGTTAGGATGCCCGGCCAAGTTAGTCGTGGACAAGGTCCCGATCCAACGCATCAGCAACAGCGCTACAACGGCTGCAGGCAGCAGCGCCGGCGGCGCAAGCACCTCCCGGCGAGTTGAGATGCGAGCGAGGCGTCTGACCGCCAAGAACAGCACAACCACCCGCCTCCCCAACCGGACTCTGACACCCCATTGTCATCATCCCCTCCTTCCCCTTCCCCTCCCCCTCCCACTGCCAGTGCCAGAGCTAGTAGTAGTACTACCAGCGTGGATCTACCACCAGGTCCAGGATCCAGCACTCAGATCCATGGCCCAAGTTTCCCGCCGGCTCATGATCCCGTGGCTGTTGGCCCAATGGCTCTGGATTTAGTACCTGACTGCTCCAGGACACCAAGCAGCCGAAACGATGAAGCCAACCCTAAGAAACGCCGCTCTCCTGCTCTTACTACCACACCTAGTCTACAAGATTCACTTCCGTTTTCATCACCCGGGGAAGCGGCGTTCCCTCTGCCAGTTCCAAGGGGCTCCTGTGCAGCAGCAGAGGAGTCCACTACAGTGGCGTTCAAGAGGTTTCAACTTGACCCTGACCCCGCCTCTCATTCTTTTATCCCCCCGGCATTAAACCCGCAGCCTCAGCATCAGCCTCAGCCGCGGCATCAGCCTTTCCCCCCTTCATTGGGCTCTGGACGTTTTTCCGGTCCGGCAGTGGGTTTTCAGTTTCTCCCTGACAGCTCTGAGGCTCTTCCCTTGGGTTTTCCACCCGCCAGCACACGGAATGGCCTTCCGGATGCTGTGTCAGGGCCGAACGCCTCCTTAGTAGGGGCTCGGATTGGCATGTATATAAGGCCCACTAACGCTCAGCTTTCTCAGATGCATACTAATGATTCGTGGCCCGCAGGTGCTGCTTCAGGTGCTGCTTCAGATGCCCGTTCAGTTGACCACTCAGTTGGCCGTTCCGGTACCGCGTCAGCCAGCCTGTCAGGTGTCCTCTCGGGTGCCAATTCAGGTGCCGCTGCGTCATCACACCGCCAACTGTCTCGGGGTGGGGCTAATTGCATTTATACGGAAAGCAGGGGGCATTGCAACTCTCGAGAAGCTCCGGGTGGGGTTCAGTCAATAGCTGTGAAGGAAGAGTGGAGCAGCGAACACAGAGGGGGGGATCATGCTCCGGATGCTGGACGAAAGACACTCTTTGTAGGAGATGCTGGTTTGGACTTCAGAGAACCCTCTTTGGAAGAAATAGTGCGGCTGAGGCAAAGTCTGCGTGTGGATCGGACTATACAAGGTGAAGAAAGAGTAGCACCATCCTGTGAAGTCCCTACACCCCAGCCTCAAGCCTTCGGTCGTCTGCTATCGCTAGACTTCAGGAATTCAGGGAGGGATGACTGCAGCAGTAAGCCCCGCAGCACGCGCTACAAGCACCAGCGGCATCAGGCGACCATGTGTGGGTTTGTTGATAAGTCCGCTCCTCACTGTCAGCGGCGCTACTGTGATGCTGGTGATGCTGACGATGGTGATGGTGATCATTTTGATGGTGCTGGTGCGGCTGCTGGTGCTGCTGCTGGTGTTGCTGCTGCTGGTGCTGCTGGTGGTGTTGCTGCTGGTGGTGCTGGTGGTGCTGCTCGTGGTGGTGCTGTTGGTGGTGGTTGTGACGCAGGGCGGACTATGCAAAGAATGCAAGGTGTTGACGTGGCAGATCGTGGGCAACAGGAGGTCGTTGATGCAGGTACCTGCAGAGGAGGGGGTGTAACAGCATGCGTCAAGGTTGAACCTGTGGCGTCACCACTGTCTCTCAATCTCCCTGCAGTTCACACCACCGCTGATTCCAATGGTGTCTCTTCTCCTGACGTGATTGCTCGTGGAGGTCCTGTGAGGCAGCGCCCATGGTCTTCTCCGTTGCGCTGTGGGCCTGCGCTAGAAGTAACGGAAGCAGCAGCAGCAGCAGCAGAACCAAAAGCACGAGTTATTGGAGCTGGAGAGGCAGCAGTAACAGGACAAAAAGGAGAAGGGGTAGGAGCAGGAGGAGCAGCAGGAGAATGGGCAGCAGCAGCAGCAGTAGCAGCGGCGGCAGGGGAAGAAGGAAACAGAGCAGCAGCAGCAGTAGAAGGTGAAGTAGCACCGGCGTCGTCACCAGCAGCAGCAGCAGCAGCAGCAGCAGCAGCAGCAGCAGCCGAGCAGCAAACAGCGGTGCCAGAACCAGCACCGCACATGTCAGCACCTTCCGCGAGAATGAGAGGCAGTGCAACAGGCGCTGACTCGCCGTGGAGGCGCCTCCATGCTTGCTTCTCCAAGGCGTCCCCTCTACACGCCCACCTCACCTCTCACCCCCTCGCCTCCAAGTCAGCTGCTGGTGCTGCTGGTGCTTCTGGTGCTGCTGGTGCTTCTGGTGCTGCTGGTGCTTCTGGTGCTGCTGGTGCTTCTGGTGCTGCTGGTGCTTCTGGTGCTGCTGGTGCTTCTGGTGCTGCTGGTGCTTCTGGTGCTGCTGGTGCTTCTGGTGCTGCTGGTGCTTCTGGTGCTGCTGGTGCTTCTGGTGCTGCTGGTGCTGCTGGTGCTGCTGGTGCTTCTTATGCTTCTGGTGCTTCTGGTGCTGCTGGTGCTGGTAACACTGGTGGCGTTGGTGGTTCTTCTCTCACAGCCGCTGCTCTCACTCTACATCCTTCGCCTCCTCGCTTCTCACCCATGCAACATACCCTGTCTTCCCCTCTCCCTCCTCCTCCGCCTTCTCTCTCCCCCTCCGTGACACCCACAACTCGCACAGCACTCCCTCCAACCATTCTTCACCACTCTGCCAACCCTGCCACCCAGTTCCTTTCCCTCGCCACAGCAGCAACCGCTGCAGCAGCAGGAGCTGATTCGGCCTTTGGTGCCACTGGGAGTGCAGCTGGGAGCTCAGGCGGCCTTCTGAACACAGTCAGCGCAGTCAACGCAGTCAATGCAGTCAACGCAGTCCATGCATTCAACGCTGTCTCACCATTCCTTCTGCCACCTTCTGCTTGGCCCTATGCCTCACTCTTCACTCCGACTCCCCCTGCGGTAACACCTGCTGCTGTGACATCTTCCGTAACTCCTGTGGTAACACCTGCTGGGACACCTGCTGGGGTAACACCTGCTGGGATAACACCTGCTGGGGTAACACCTGCTGGGGTAACACCTGCTGGGGTAACACCTGCTGGGGTAACGCTCGCTGTAGCACCTGCCGCACTGCCCAGTCCCACCCTTCCTGCTGCTGTCATTCTGAGTGCAGCCAGTGCGCTGGACACCGTGCGGGCGCTGCTGCTGTCCCAAGCTGCAGCCAGTGAGCCGCACCAATCCCTGGGCCTCTCCCCAGCACCTCTTGGCTCTCCATTCCCTTCTCCTGTTCCCACTCATGGAACTGGTTTTGATGCTCCCACTTATGCTGCTTCCACTTTTGCTGCTGCTCATGCGTCTCTTGCTGCTGCTGCTGCTCCTGCTGGCGCTACTGCCAGGCGCACTGCTGCTGCGTCTGCAGCAGCAAGCCTCTCTGCCGGTTCTCTAAACGCCCTGGCAATGCCCCTGGCGCTGCCTCGAGGAGCAGCAGCACCTCAGCAGCAGGGGCAGTCGATGCAGTCAATGCAGACAATGCAATCACTGCACTCCATGCTGCAGACAATGCAACCAACGCAGGGCCCATTGGTTCCACACGCACTGCGGCAGCGACAGCAGTTGGGGGCGCAGGGGCAGCAGACGATTCAGCAGCTGCTGCAGGAGTTTCAGCAGCAGCAGCCAGCGCAAGTGCAGTCAGTGCGACAGCAACCGTTGCAGCAGCAATCGTTGCAGTGGCAGTCAGCAGCACAATAGCAGCCAGCATAAAAGCAGTCAGCACAGCAGCAGCCAGCATAACAGCAGTCAGCACAGTAGCAGTCAGCACAATAGCAGTCAGCACAATAAAAGTCAGCCTAACAGCAGTCAGCACAACAGCAGTCAGCATAACAGCAGTCAGCATAACAGCAGTCAGCATAACAGCAGTCAGCATAACAGCAGTCAGCATAACAGCAGTCAGCATAACAGCAGTCAGCACCATAGCAGTCAGCACAATAGCGGTCAGCATAACAGCAGCAGCCAGCAGAGCAGCAGCCATCACAGCAAGCTGGAGCATCAAAGGCGGAGGGAGGAGGGGGCAGAGGGTGGCACATATCTGGACCTCTGTCTCCAGTGGGCGTGCAGGTGGATAGGATTGTAAAAATCAGTAGGATTCTTCAATAAACAAGGGGCATACTATGGAGGAGACACTTAAAATCAGGTAAGTAGGTCAGAGAATCAGGTGCCATAAGTAGTCTGTGATAGTTTCCACATATTTTATCCCATGGAAGGTTCCGGTTGGTATGGAAATATGTTCGACAGCCAAGCTTTGCTGTGTATAGATAGATGGCCTTCACTCGGGCAAGAGCAAGCATGCACGCTAGAGTGGGCTTCAAATGAGAGAGAGGCTAGAGCAAGCATGCACGCTAGGGTGGGATTCAAATGAGAGAGAGGCTAGAGCAAGCATGCATGCTAGAGTGGGCTTCAAATGAGAAAGAGGCTAGAGCAAGAATGCACGCTAGAGTGGGCTTCAAATGAGAGAGGCTAGAGCAAGCATGCACGCTACAGTGGGCTTCAAATTATAGGGAGGCGAGAGCAAGCAGGCACGCTAGAGTGGGCATCAAACAAGAGAGAGGCGAGAGCAAGCACGCACGCTAGAGTGGGCTTCAAATGAGAGGCGAGAGCAAGCATGCACGCTAGAGTGGGCATCAAACGAGAGAGAGGCGAGATCAAGCACGCACGCTAGAGTGGGCTTTAAACGAGAGAGAGGCGAGATCAAGCATGCAAGCTAGAGTGGGCACCGAACGAGGGAGTGGCGAGAGCAAGTGCCGCGGAGAGCAATCAGGAGTGACAAGGTGGGTCACACATGCCACCACGACGCAAGGAGTGATGGTACAGGAGTGATAAGGTGAGGGCGCCTGGAATGATGGTAGTAGGCCTGTGGGTCGTAGGCCTGTGAGTCGTAGGTCCCTGCAGTGAGGGTGTTGGAGTAACCATTGCATGAAAGGATGGTACAGTCTTAGGTTGCAGGTCCAGGCGGCTGCAAGGTGCTGCACGGCATGTGACTGTAATGGGCGTTGGCATATAGAGGGAATGCTGGCATGCTTGCCTGCCATGAGCCTGTCAACATCTCAAACCGCCCTTGCTTTCCGCTGTATTAAGGGGCTGCTCCTAAGTGCGGTTGTTGCCACTACAGAGGGCTTTCCCTGGTAAATCACAGTAGCTCACTGGAAGTCAACCCAAAGTCTTGCCGGTCAATGTGTGCCACTCGACTTCAAGTGTCGCCCATTCCGCCTTCCTCCTGTAAGTCAACCCAAAGGCAGCACCACTTGACATGACCAGCCCTTTCAACTGTTCATAAATTTGTTTCCACTCCTTGGTCCAAGTCAAACAGGTCATGCCGTGCTGCTCGCTGCTGTTACCGCATCCCCTATTCCCCACCTTCTCTGTTCCTTACCTCCCCTCTGCCTCACCTCCCCTGTGCCTCACCTCCCCTGTTCCCCACCTCCCCTGTTCCCCACCTCCCCTGTTCCCCACCTCCCCTGTTCCCCACCTCCCCTGTTCCCCACCTCCCTGTTCCCCACCTCGCCTGTTCCCCACCTCCCCTGTTCCCCCACCTCCCCTGTTCCCCACCTCGCCTGTTCCCCACCTCCCCTGTTCCCCACCTCCCCTGTTCCCCACCTCCCCTGTTCCCCACCTCCCCTGTTCCCCACCTCGCCTGTTCCCCACCTCCCTGTTCCCACCTCCCCTGTTCCCCACCTCGCCTGTTCCCCACCTCCCTGTTCCCCACCTCCCCTGTTCCCCACCTCCCCTGTTCCCCACCTCCCCTGTTCCCCACCTCGCCTGTTCCCCACCTCGCCTGTTCCCCACCTCCCCTGTTCCCCACCTCCCCTGTTCCCCACTCCCCCTGTTCCCCACCTCGCCCTGTTCCCCACCTCCCCTGTTCCCCACCTCGCCTGTTCCCCACCTCCCCTGTTCCCCACCTCGCCTGTTCCCCACCTCGCCTGTTCCCCACCTCCCCTGTTCCCCACCTCGCCTGTTCCCCACCTCGCCTGTTCCCCACCTCCCCTGTTCCCCACCTCCCCTGTTCCCCACCTCCCCTGTTCCCCACCTCCCCTGTTCCCCACCTCCCTGTTCCCCACCTCGCCTGTTTCCCCACCTCGCCTGTTCCCCACCTCCCTGTTCCCCACCTCCTGTTCCCACCTCCCTGTTCCCCACTCCCCTGTTCCCACACCTCCCCTGTTCCCACCTCCCTGTTCCCCCACCTCCCCTGTTCCCCACCTCCCTGTTCCCCACCTCGCCTGTTCCCCACCCATCCCCTGTTCCCCACCTCCCTGTTCCCCACCGTTCGCCTGTTCCCACCTCCTGTTCCCACCTCCCCTGTTCCCCACCTCCCCCTGTTCCCCACCCTCGCCTGTTCCCCACCTCCCCTGTTCCCCTCCCTGTTCCCCACCTCGCCTGTTCCCCACTCCCTGTTCCCCACCTCCCCTGTTCCCCACCTCGCCTGTTCCCCACCTCCCCTGTTCCCCTCCCTGTTCCCCACCTCCCTGTTCCCCACCTCCCTGTTCCCCACCTCTCGCCTGTTCCCACCTCGCCTGTTCCCACCTCCCCTGTTCCCCACCTCCCCTGTTCCCCCTCCCCTGTTCCCCACCTCCCCTGTTCCCCACCTCCCCTGTTCCCCACCTCCCTGTTCCCCACCTCCCCTGTTCCCCACCTCGCCTGTTCCCCACCTCCCCTGTTCCCCACCTCCCCTGTTCCCCACCTCGCCTGTTCCCCACCTCCCCTGTTCCCCACCTCCCCTGTTCCCACGCCTGTTCCCCTGTTCCCCACCTCGCCTGTTCCCCACCTCCCCTGTTCCCCACCTCCCCTGTTCCCCACCTCCCTGTTCCCCTCCCCTGTTCCCCACCTCCCCTGTTCCCCACCTCGCCTGTTCCCCACCTCCCTGTTCCCCACCTCCCCTGTTCCCCACCTCCTGTTCCCCACCTCCCCTGTTCCCCACTCCCCTGTTCCCCACCTCCCCTGTTCCCCACCTCCCTGTTCCCCACCTCCCTGTTCCCCACGTCCCTGTTCCCCACCTCGCCTGTTCCCCACCTCGCCTGTTCCCCACCTCGCCTGTTCCCCACCTCCCCTGTTCCCCACCTCGCCTGTTCCCCACTCCCTGTTCCCACCTCCCCTGTTCCCCACCTCCCCTGTTCCCCACCTCCCTGTTCCCACCTCGCCTGTTCCCCACCTCCCCTGTTCCCCACCTCCCTGTTCCCACCTCGCCTGTTCCCCACCTCCCCTGTTCCCACCTCCCTGTTCCCCACCTCCCTGTTCCCCACCTCCCCTGTTCCCACCTCGCCTGTTCCCCACTCCCTGTTCCCCACCTCCCCTGTTCCCCACCTCCCCTGTTCCCACCTCCCCTGTTCCCCACCTCGCCTGTTCCCCACCTCCCCTGTTCCCCACCTCCCCTGTTCCCCACCTCCCTGTTCCCCACCTCCCCTGTTCCCCACCTCCCCTGTTCCCACCTCCCCTGTTCCCCACCTCCCTGTTCCCCACCTCGCCTGTTCCCCACCTCGCCTGTTCCCCACTCGCCTGTTCCCACCTCGCCTGTTCCCCACCTCCCTGTTCCCCACCTCCCCTGTTCCCACCTCGCCTGTTCCCCACCTCCCTGTTCCCACCTCCCCTGTTCCCCACCTCCCTGTTCCCCACCTCCCCTGTTCCCCACCTCGCCTGTTCCCACCTCCCCTGTTCCACCTCCCCTGTTCCCCCCTCCGTTCCCACCTGTTCCCCACCTCCCCTGTTCCCCACCTCCCTGTTCCCCACCTCCCTGTTCCCCACCTCCCCTGTTCCCACCTCGCCTGTTCCCCACCTCGCCTGTTCCCCACCTCGCCTGTTCCCCACCTCGCCTGTTCCCACCTCCCCTGTTCCCCACCTCCCCTGTTCCCCACCTCCCCTGTTCCCCACCTCCCTGTTCCCACCTCCCCTGTTCCCACCTCCCCTGTTCCCCACCTCGCCTGTTCCCCACCTCCCCTGTTCCCCACCTCCCCTGTTCCCCACCTCGCCTGTTCCCCACCTCGCCTGTTCCCCACCTCCCCTGTTCCCACCTCCCGTGTTCCCCACCTCGCCTGTTCCCCACCTCCCCTGTTCCCCACCTCCCCTGTTCCCACCTCGCCTGTTCCCCACCTCCCTGTTCCCCACCTCCCTGTTCCCCACCTCCCCTGTTCCCCACCTCGCCTGTTCCCCACCTCCCTGTTCCCCACCTCCCTGTTCCCCCCTCCCTGTTCCCCACTCCCCTGTTCCCACCTCGCCTGTTCCCACCTCCCTGTTCCCCACCTCGCCTGTTCCCCACCTCCCCTGTTCCCCACCTCCCTGTTCCCACCTCCCCTGTTCCCCACCTCCCCTGTTCCCCACCTCGCCTGTTCCCCACCTCGCCTGTTCCCCACATCCCCTGTTCCCCACCTCCCCTGTTCCCACGTCCCTGTTCCCCACCTCGCCTGTTCCCACCTCCCTGTTCCCACCTCGCTGTTCCCCACTCCCTGTTCCCCCCTCCCTGTTCCCACCTCCCCTGTTCCCCCCCTCCCTGTTCCCCACCTCCCTGTTCCCCACCTCCCTGTTCCCCACCTCGCCTGTTCCCCACCTCCCCTGTTCCCCACCTCCCTGTTCCCACCTCGCCTGTTCCCCACCTCTCCCCTGTTCCCCACTCCCTGTTCCCCACCTCCCCTGTTCCCCACCTCCCCTGTTCCCCACCTCCCTGTTCCCCACCTCCCTGTTCCCCACCTCGCCTGTTCCCCACCTCCCCTGTTCCCCACCTCGCCTGTTCCCACCTCCCTGTTCCCACCTCGCCTGTTCCCCCTCCCCTGTTCCCCACCTCCCGTGTTCCCCACCTCGCCTGTTCCCACCTCCCCTGTTCCCACCTCGCCTGTTCCCACCTCGCCTGTTCCCCACCGCCTGTTCCCCTCCCTGTTCCCACCTCGCCTGTTCCCCACCTCGCCTGTTCCCCACTCGCCTGTTCCCACCTCCCCTGTTCCCCACCTCCCCTGTTCCCCACCTCCCTGTTCCCACCTCGCCTGTTCCCACTCCCCTGTTCCCACACCTCCCGTGTTCCCACCTTGCCTGTTCCCCACTCCCTGTTCCCCACCTCCCTGTTCCCCACCTCGCCTGTTCCCCACCTCCTGTTCCCCACCTCCCTGTTCCCCACTCCCCTGTTCCCCACCTCCCTGTTCCACCTCCCCTGTTCCCCACTCGCCTGTTCACCTGCCTGTTCCCCACTCCCTGTTCCCACCTGCCTGTTCCCCTCCCCTGTTCCCACCTCGCCTGTTTCCCACCTCCCTGTTCCCACCTCCGTGTTCCACCTCGCCTGTTCCCCACCTCCCCTGTTCCCACCTCGCCTGTTCCCCACCTCGCCTGTTCCCACCTCGCCTGTTCCCCACCTCCCTGTTCCCACCTCGCCTGTTCCCCACCTCGCCTGTTCCCACCCTCGCCTGTTCCCACTCCCCTGTTCCCCACCTCCCCTGTTCCCACCTCCCTGTTCCCACTGCCTGTTCCCACCTCCTGTTCCCCCCACTCCCGTGTTCCCACCTTGCCTGTTCCCACCTCCCCTGTTCCCCACCTCCCTGTTTCCCACATCGCCTGTTCCCACTCCCTGTTCCCCACCTCCCTGTTCCCCACCTCCTGTTCCCACCTCGCCTGTTCCCACCTCCCCTGTTCCCCACCTCGCCTGTTCCCACCTCGCCTGTTCCACCTCCCTGTTCCACCTCCCTGTTCCCCACCTCCCTGTTCCCCACCTCCCCTGTTCCCCCACTCCCTGTTCCCACCTCCCCTGTTCCCACCTCGCCCTGTTCCCACCTCGCCCTGTTCCCCACCTCGCTGTTCCCCACCTCCCTGTTCCCCACCTCGCCTGTTCCACCTCCCCTGTTCCCACCTCCCGTGTTCCCCACCTCGCCTGTTCCACCTCCCCTGTTCCCACCTCCCCTGTTCCCACCTCGCCTGTTCCCCACCTCCCCTGTTCCCCACCTCCCTGTTCCCACCTCCCCTGTTCCCACCTCGCCTGTTCCACCTCGCCTGTTCCACCTCGCCTGTTCCCACCTCGCCTGTTCCCACCTCCTGTTCCCCACCTCCCCTGTTCCACCTCCCCTGTTCCCACCTCCCCTCTCCCACCTCCCTGTTCCCACCTCCCTGTTCCACTCGCCTGTTCCCCACCTCCCTGTTCCCCACCTCCCTGTTCCCACCCGCCTGTTCCCACCTCCTGTTCCCCACCTCCCCTGTTCCCACTCCCCTGTTCCCACCTCGCCTGTTCCCACTCCCCTGTTCCCACCTCCCGTGTTCCCACTTGCCTGTTCCCCACCTCCCCTGTTCCCCACTCCCTGTTCCCACCTCGCCTGTTCCCCACCTCCCCTGTTCCCCACCTCCCTGTTCCCCACCTCCCTGTTCCCCTCGCCTGTTCCCACTCCCCTGTTCCCACTCCCTGTTCCCACCTCGCCTGTTCCCCACTCCCTGTTCCCCACTCCCCTGTTCCCCACCTCCCCTGTTCCCACCTCCCTGTTCCCACCTCGCCTGTTCCACCTCGCCTGTTCCCACCTCGCTGTTCCCCACCCCTCGCTGTTCCCCACCTCCCTGTTCCCCACCTCCCTGTTCCCCACTCCCTGTTCCCACCTCGCCTGTTCCCCACCTCCCCTGTTCCCACTCCCCTGTTCCCACCTCCCCTGTTCCCCACTCCCTGTTCCCACCTCGCTGTTCCCCACCTCGCCTGTTCCCACCTCGCCTGTTCCCACTCCCTGTTCCCCACTCGCCTGTTCCCCACCTCGCCTGTTCCCACCTCCCCTGTTCCCCACCTCCCCTGTTCCCCACCTCCCCTGTTCCCACCTCCCTGTTCCCCACCTCCCCTGTTCCCCCCCTGTTCCCCACCTCGCCTGTTCCCCACCTCCCCTGTTCCCCACCTCCTGTTCCCCACCTCCCCTGTTCCCACCTCGCCTGTTCCCCACTCCCCGTTCCCACCTCCCGTGTTCCCCACCTCGCCTGTTCCCCACCTCCCCTGTTCCCCACCCTGTTCCCCACCTCGCCTGTTCCCACCTCCCTGTTCCACCTCCCTGTTCCCCACCTCCCTGTTCCCCACTCGCCTGTTCCCCACCTCGCTGTTCCCACCTCCCCTGTTCCCCACCTCCCCTGTTCCCCACGTCCCTGTTCCCACCTCGCCTGTTCCCCACCTCCCCTGTTCCCCACCTCGCCTGTTCCCCACCTCCCCTGTTCCCCACCTCCCCTGTTCCCCACCTCCCTGTTCCCCACCTCCCCTGTTCCCCACCTCGCCTGTTCCCCACCTCGCCTGTTCCCCACCTCCCTGTTCCCCACCTCCCCTGTTCCCCACGTCCCTGTTCCCCACCTCGCCTGTTCCCCACCTCCCTGTTCCCCACCTCGCCTGTTCCCCACCTCCCCTGTTCCCCACCTCCCCTGTTCCCCCTGTTCCCCACCTCCCTGTCCCCCTCCCCTGTTCCCCACCTCCCCTGTTCCCCACCTCGCCTGTTCCCCACCTCCCCTGTTCCCCACCTCGCCTGTTCCCCACCTCCCCTGTTCCCCACCTCGCCTGTTCCCCACCTCCCCTGTTCCCCACCTCGCCTGTTCCCCACCTCGCCTGTTCCCCACCTCCCGTGTTCCCCACCTCGCCTGTTCCCCACCTCCCCTGTTCCCCACCTCCCCTGTTCCCCACCTCGCCTGTTCCCCACCTCCCCTGTTCCCCACCTCCCCTGTTCCCCACCTCCCCTGTTCCCCACCTCGCCTGTTCCCCACCTCGCCTGTTCCCCACCTCGCCTGTTCCCCACCTCGCCTGTTCCCCACCTCCCCTGTTCCCCACCTCCCCTGTTCCCCACCTCCCCTGTTCCCCACCTCCCCTCTTCCCCACCTCCCCTGTTCCCCACCTCCCCTGTTCCCCACCTCGCCTGTTCCCCACCTCCCCTGTTCCCCACCTCCCTGTTCCCCACCTCGCCTGTTCCCCACCTCCCCTGTTCCCCACCTCGCCCCTGTTCCCCACCTCCCGTCCCCACCTCCCCTGTTCCCCACCTCCCCTGTTCCCCACCTCGCCTGTTCCCCACCTCCCCTGTTCCCCACCTCGCCTGTTCCCCACCTCGCCTGTTCCCCACCTCCCCTGTTCCCCACCTCCCCTGTTCCCCACCTCCCCTGTTCCCCACCTCCCCTGTTCCCCTGTACCATCTTTAAGAGAACTCACTATCTTCTCCCCCGCTCTTGCCCCCGTGCCCCCTCTCCTGTGTTCCCTTCTCTCTCTGCTCCTCCACACCTGCGTGCTGTCTATAATTGCATTCACATTCACCTGGCGGAATTGAAGCCCTGCCCTGACCCTGACCCTGACCCTGACCCTGACCCTGACCCCGACCCTGACCCCGACCCTGACCCTGACCCCGACCCTGACCCTGACCTGACCCTCACCCTCACCCCCACCCTGACCCTGACCCGGAGCCCGAGCCCGACCCTGAGCCTGAGCCCGACCCTGACCCTGACCCTGACCCTGACCCTGAACCCGGCCCCGACCCTGACCCCGACCCTGACTCTGACCCCGACCCTGACCCTGACCTGACCCTGACCCTGAGCCTAAACCTAAGCCTGTCAGTCAGCACATACCATTCAGCACACTGTCGTCATCCCCCTTCGTGTCTCTCTCCCCTCCTCCAGACCTGCGTGCTGTCGTCAAGAGCACGCGCATTCACCTGGGCGGGGATGAAGTCAGCTTTGCTGCGCACTCGGTGCAACACCTCATACACTCGCTGCTGCTGCTTCCACTCGTTCGCCACTCGCTCTCTGCACACCCGTCAGATGGAATGAATCCAGCTCCACTGTGCAACTTCCACGTTTTCCATCACTGCGTTGCTGCTGCTGCTGCTATGGTTGCTCTGCACCTCCCTCTCATCAGCGCTCCTCCCTCTCCCCGTGCGCATCGCCTGCCCTCTCCTCTGCCACTATCAGTCTGCTGGGTGGGAGTCATCGCCAGCAATCAATGCATGGTGAGCTGCCATATGCCATGTATGTTACTGCCACATGCCATACATGCCACTGCCACATGCCATACATGCCAATGCCGCATGCCGTACATGCCACTGCCACATGCCATACATGCCACTGCCACATGCCATACATGCCACTGCCACATGCCGTACATGCCACTGCCACAAGCCGTACATGCTGCTGCCGCATGCCGTACATGCTGCTGCCGCATGCCATACATGCCACTGCCGCATGCCTTACATGCCACTGCCACATGCCATGCATGCCACTGCTACATGCCATACATGCCTCTGCGACATACCATGCATGCCACTGCGACATACCATGCATGCCACTGCGACATGCCATGCATGCCACTGCCACATGGCATGCATGCCACTGCCGCATGCCTTCATGTCACTGCATGGTGACTTTTGAGTCAACTCAAAATCAATGCCGCATACCTTTCATGAGGGTGTTTGGGGGGGAAGGGGCGGGTGTTTGGGGGGGAAGGGGCGGGTGTTTGGGGGGGAAGGGGCTTGTGTTTGCAGGGAAGGGGCGGGTGTCTGGGGGGTAAGGAGTTCTGCTAGCGCAATTACTGCTGAAATTCATCCACCAACCAAAACTTATCGCTTCCCCTCCACCATCTCTTCCTCCCCCTTCCCCCTCCCTTCTCCCCCTTGATTCCCATTCCTGTTTCCCCTCCCTTGCTCTGTTGCCTTCAGGTGTATTCTCAGGAGCCCGCAGCAGGAATTGCGGCGCTGCTGCAGCCTCTGGTGGTGGGCGGCGAGACATGCATGTGGGGGGAGAGGGTCGACCCCTCGGACCTCCTCAACACTGTGTGGCCATGAGCTGCTGCTGCTGCTGCTGCTGCTGCTGCTGCTGCTGCTGCTGCTGCTGCTGCTGCTGCTGCTGAGGGAGGGGGGAATGGTGCTGCTGCTGGTGGGAGAGGGGGGAATGGTGCTGCTGCTGGTGAGAGAGAGGGGAAATGGTGCTGCTGCTGTTGAGAGGGGGGGGAATGGTGCTGCTGCTGGTGAGGGAGGGGGAAATGGTGCTGCTGCTGGTGAGAGAGGGGGAAATGGTGCTGCTGGTGGTGAGAGAGGGGGAAATGGTGCTGCTGGTGGTGAGAGAGGGGGAAATGGTGCTGCTGGTGGTGAGAGAGGGGGGAATGGTGCTGATCCTGTTGAGAGAGGGGGGAATGGTGCTGCTGCTGGTGAGAGGGGGGAATGGTGCTGCTGCTGGTGAGAGAGGGGGGAGTGGTGCTGCTGCTGGTGAGAGAGGGGGGAATGGTGCTGCTGCTGGTGAGAGAGGGGGGAATGGTGCTGCTGCTGGTGATGGAGGGGGAAACGGTGCTGATGCTAGTTCGCATCCTGCTCACTTCTTGTCTGCAACCATCTCTCCTCACTCCTGTCTCTTTCCTTCGCCCCCTCTCGATTTCCCCTCCCTATTTCCCCTCTCGCTTTCACCTCTCCTCTCTTTGCCTTCCTCCCGTTTTTGACCACCAGAGCACCTGTGGAGTCCTCAAGTATGCATGGATGGGTGTCTCTCTAAAGGCTATGCCCGCCTGCATTTGTCCCGATGCGTGCTCATATCCCCTCTGTCCCCTCTATTCCTCTCTTTCCACCACTCAGAGCGCCTATGGAATGCTCAAGCATATGTGGTTGTGGCACTCTGCAAACTGCTACCAACAATAGACTCTTTCGCTGGTGCCCCAAACCAATCATTGCTCCCTGCTTTGAGTAGCTGGTCAGTTGGGAATGATGTGATTATCAATCAATGTATGTTTTCGCATTCGCATGATGAACGAACAAATAAAATGCAGATGTATATTATGAGGTTTTTCTATTCAGAGGTTTACAACATCTGAGGATATGAGATAATGGATAGATTAGTTCTGTACTACCTAAGCCCGTACAGTTTCGTTAGTCTCAGCGACACCATGCAATACAAAATACAAGCTCGTTTTCGAACCAGGAGCCCCAAAAACTTGACTGTTGCCAATCTAGACGGTTCTGACTGGCGTCCTAACGGTGGCTGGTGTCAAACATATATTGTATGTTCTTGTAGACTATATAGGGTTGTGCCTTAGGGAGTACAACCCATTAGCTTATATTCCCTTGTATGTCTTGTTCTAGTCATACGTTCACTTTAATATGGTATCATGAGTAGGTAGGATCATGGCCCTGTTGTCAAGGTTCAGGACCGGGGCAGAGCTAGGCCGCTCACCTAAGTCTGTGAGCAAGAAGGTCAGCCAACGGAGCTCCTGTGCCGCCATGTCACCGGCGTAGATCTCCGACTCACAGCTAGATTGGGCAACAGACGATGAGCGAGTGGACCTCCACGAGATGGCACCTGCACCAAGGCTAAAGCAGTAGCCCTGGGAGGACCTGAGCGTTTCAGCGTCCTCTGCCCACGAAGCGTATGTGTGCCATGTAAGGACCACTGGACTGCGCCCTCCTAGCACTAGCCCAAAACCCGATGTACTGGCTGGATAACGCAAAACACTATTAGCGGCTGACCAGTGCTGCGGTCGGTGTCTGCTTCTGCCCACAAAGCGAGCCAGGATGCTGAGGGGGTATGCAAGATCTGGACGAGTGCAAGTCATCAGGTACATGAGGCAACCCACCAGCTCTGCATACGGACCACTAGGATCTACTGACTCCTCAGAGACTGGAGCTGAGAGCATGTCGTCTACTGACAGATTGTGGGCTGTGCTGAGGAGAAATGAAGACCGAACCTCTGAAGGACCTGGCGTGCCAAGTGTGACTGTGTGAGAGTGATGGTGCGCGTTGCTCTGTCCCTTGAGATCTACAGGCCAAGGTAGCAGCGCAACTCTCCTAGGTCAGTGCAGGTGTGTCTCCTCAGCAGCTCGGCCTTCACAGAGGCCAGTGCGTCCCTATCTGCAGTGGCGAAGACCAGGTCATCTACGTAGACAAGGATGTAGAACGAGGTCTGGCCTGAACGAACGAAGAGCGAAGGGTATGCAAAGGACGGGAAGAACATACCCTGATTCATTTGGTCCTTTTCTCATCTCATTTGGGTTCCAATTCCTCATTTCCATTATCCTTTGGTTTATCCTATTATTATTATTACAGTATATCACCGACCAGGCTCGGGATGTACTGGCACGCTATATCTAGCGTAATCCTGCCGTAATCCCTTAAAGCCAATAGCCTCGCATGTTTATACGCAGGCTGTTTATATTCCTAGAAGGGTCTATTCTCTTTGGATAGGATAAATATGCTTACCTTATGTACCTTGGTAGTATAAAAGTGCCTTGTATCAACTCATAGTGCAACTTTTCCTCGACCCATTCGATCAAGTGGCACTTGGTAATCAGAGCTTTTCTCACTCGATCGCGCTCAGCTAAGCAGTAGCAGCGGGAAAAACTGCCTCGAAAAACCGCTGGGGGCGACTAATTCGTCGCCGATTCTGGTAAGCACCAGCTCCGCATTTTTTTTTATTAACCCCTTCACGCGTGTTTTGAACAGGATGACGAACTTCGACAACGCCGATGTTACCCAGCAGCTCTTCGCACGCATCGCCGCTTTAGAGGAGGAGATGCGAGCCGACCGCGAAGCTTGGCGTAATAGTTTGAGCGAGTAACTCGATTCGCCGGCGCGCAGCACAAAACGACAACGATGATGACGCAGTAGTTTCTCGAGGCTCCAAAACCGAGCCCACCTGAGCCGTTCGATTCGAGCGATAAAATTTCGAGATGGAGATCTACTTCGCAGATGGATCGCCGGCATGGAGATCTACTTCGCAGACATCGGATGGAGCTCACCAGTCTGGGACGGTCAATGCGTGCGACACGCAGCGACCATGATGCGAGGGCCGGCACTCGATTGGATCCGCGGCAACAGTACCTTCATCCACGGCGAAACCACATGGCAGCAGTTCCACACCAACCTGCTAAAACGTTTCGAGCCGATAAATTCCGGTTTCCTTGCCCGGGAAAAAAATCATCGTCATCGACAGTTCGGGAGTGTAGCACAGTATACGCAGCAGATGGAAGAATTTTCTAACCTCATTCCCGACCTGAACGAAGGGAAAAAATTCAGTCGTATCTCGTCGGGCTGAAGATTGAAGTCAAACGACAGGTTGCAGTGACAAATTACGCGAGCTACAGTGACGTCGTTTCGGCAGCAGAGCGGTTTGACATGGTCAACGTCGAAACACGACGGGCGCACGTCGGCAGTACGTGACAGGGCGACCGCTCGGCTCACCCCACGTTCGCCGACCCGATGGAAATCGACAGGTTCGACGAGCGGTCACGTCCGAAAAACAACTACTTCACGTGTGATTTTTGCGGGGTGTTGGGCCATCAAATCTTCGACTGTGGCGCCAGTAATAAAATGAAAGCTGCACGTGCAGAGACCCGGGCGCGCAACAGTGGCGGAAAATCATCAACCGATCAGAATACAAAAAATGGGAATCGCCAATGATTGCGGATCTAGCTGGCGAAAAAGAAAAGATCTGAAAGCAGCCGTGGGATTCCGGAAAAATCAACTTCAACGAAGCTGATTCGACGTGAGCAGGAATGATGGGGAAAAATCTCCACCCCACGACCAGTCTTCGCCAGGGAAAATCGCAAAGAAAAAATATGACTCCGCGAAAAAAGAATCTTCCAAGATGGGGAAACTCCTAGAAGACCCAAGACATCATTGCTAAGGGCAAGAGCACCCACGACGGACGGTGGACGAGTAGGGCCAGAGATCAGAGCGGTGGCGTAGTCAAGGTGGCGGGTAGAGGCAAAGTCAGCGACGGCAGCGACAACAGCGTCAAGATTGGAGACAGGAACTGACGGGTCGGTAACAAGAGAGGCCAGGACCCGAGGAACAAGTGGACTAGCGGCCCGGAGGAAGTCGGACAAGGGAGGCAGAGCGACAATCAGCGAGGACGGAGGAGGCGACGGGAGGAGGGGAGGACTAGACGCGTGGGAACGAAGCAACATAGGGTGAGAGCGCTGGATAGGAGAGACAGGACGAGCACGAGAGGGACGGCGAGACCAAAAGAGGGAGGGAGGCATCGGGTCAGGAGACAGGGGAGGAGGGACAGGAGGAGAACGCAGGGGAAACGAGTCGGAGACGAGTCCGACGGAGGAAGCACTGGACCGTAGACAGGCGGGGAAGCACAGGCGGGCGGTCAGGGGAGGGAAGACCAAGGAGGCGAAGGGCGGACACCGGCGGCGACTGCTGCGGCTGCTCCACACAGACACCAGAACCTCCAGCTACACCACGGCTACCTCTGGAATGCTCCACGCCAGCACCCTTAGAACGAGAACCCTCTCCAGCACCGGTGCCACCCCGGAGATCGTCGGGACAAGCCACGAAAGTAATCCCAGGACTAGCACCCCCACAACGAGAACCCTCTGCAGCACCGGTGCCACCCCCAGGACCGCCGAGACAAGCCATGACATTACCCCCAGGACTAGCACCCTCCCCAACGCCCACACCCCCAGAACTCACGGACCACTGCGGCGGCTGTGGCTGCGGCGGTGGCGACGGCGGCTGGTGCGCCGGCGGCGACTACTGCTGCTGCTGCGGCGGTGACGGCGGAGGAGGAGACACCGGGGCGGAGACTGGCGGCAAAAATGAAGCCGCGGGGCCCCCGGAGTCAGCTGACTCTTCCATAGGGACAACCGACGCGAGGGGAGTGACGTTAGACACACCAGACGGGGCAAGATGGGGAGGAAGAGGAGCAGGGGGTACCGAGGGAGTGGGGACCAGGAACAGGGGGGGGGCAACCGGGAGACCTCGGTAGGGAAAGCAGGTGTAGAAAGAGACAGGCTCGTCAAAAGTGATGTCACGTGAGTGAAAGAAGTGGTAAGACGGTGGGTGGAAAAAGTGCCAATCAGACGCGTCGAGAGGGAAACCAAGGAAGACACAAGGGAAGGTGCGGGTAGTGAGCTTGTCCGTGCCAGAGGCACGAATGTGAGCAAGGCAGCTCTAGATGTGGAACGCGGACGCGTCACCAGGGAACCCAGGCCGCTGCAAGTGTGGCCACAGGTTAAGTTGGTGAGCAGCATAGCGAACAGCGAACGGCCACAGAAAATGGGGTGCACTGGCATGGATCATGGAGGTATGAGCCACCTCCATAACCAAATTGATGTGTTGCTCAGCGACCCCATTCTGTTGTGGAGAGTCCAGCAAGGTGTACGAATGGGTGATGCCCTCCGCACGACAGAACTGGCCAAGCCGACCGAAGGCGAACTCGCCACCACGGTCGGAGTGGAGACGCAGCACAGGAAGGCCTTGGTTGACTCGCGCAGCTACGACCCACGGGATAAGAACGTCAGGCACGTTGGCCTTCTGCTCCAGGGGAAACACTGTGATGTAGCGCGTGTAGTCATCGGCAAGCACTAGAAAGTACCGCTCTCGACGCGGCACAAGGACGGGGGCTGTGCCCCAAATGTCCAGGTGCAGGGTCTGGAGTGGCGCAGTGGTAGGAGGGAGCAAGGAGGAGTGAGGAGCACGGTGCAGCCGGCCCTCGACGCAAGGCATGCATGGCGGCGCGGGCAAAGGAGGGAGGACAGGGAGCGATGCAGGGAGACTGAAGACAAGCCCGTGATGGGACATGTGACGCAGACGCGGGAGTGCGGGGTGACCTAGGTGGTGGTGCCATAGTAGCGACGGGTGGGTGAGCGACCGACATGAGCAGTCTACAGCTACCTGGGAGGATGCGGTGACCTGGGGGGACGCTCTAACCAGGGGGGACGCGGTGTCCAGCATGAACAGGCCAGACACGGGGTCCCGGGGGAACGTGGTGAGAGGGGCACCAGTGGCGGCCTCGGTACAGACTGCGTACTGCTCGTGTCTAGCGAACATAGTGGTGACGCCGAGGTCCTGAAGACAACCGACACCAACTAGTTCCTCGAGAACAAGGGGATGTGCAAGCCTGTAAG